CTTTTTAGGATTCGATCCGGAGTCCGAAATGGATTAAGTTCGAGAACCAAGGTACCACTGTATAATTAAACTGAGAAACAGATTAAAAGGGGCTGGAAATGGGTGCCCTGGATTTATAACAAAAGACAAAACGGGAGCATCACTGCAAAACAACACGAGGTACAATAATTGTTTTTATTTTGATTATTTCGTTTTGATAATCGTTGGAAGCCAAAATCATAATTTGAATTAAAATCTGATTAATAGCCCAGCACTATGGTCATGTGAAGGAAGTCCCAGAAAAACGTATTTGGTCCAAAATATTTGCACGACAAGCATGCAGGGGGACCTTTAAGACAGTGAAATCTGACCCCAGTGAGACTGACAACTTGGGCTCACCTGGTGAACTTCATGCCAGCCGTTCTCGTCCTGACAGCTGATGCTGGAGTGTTCCTGGAGGAGCATCTCGCAGCAGTTTGGGTCCCCACCCACCATGGCTGTGTGGTAGAGTGCTGTCAAGCCTCGACTGTCCTTATAGTCAGGGGAGGCACCCAGCTCCAGCAGGGTCTGTGGGGCAGCCACAGCAGGTCAGGGAGAGTGAGCACTTCGGGAAGACGATGGTAACTTTGACTAAACTGGAGTGTAAATGGCATACTTCAGTGTGAGTAATTATTCAACCCGCTGAAGCTTTCTAACTTGTCGGGACCTCAAAAGCACATCCAAGCACTGCCAGATGTTTGCATGACATTGTGTGCAGGTCATTTGCATGTATTAGGAAAGAAGCATCGGCTACATTTGTACTCTAACATGGAATATCTTCAGGCTAGCCACTGATGCAGCACCAACATGAAAATGCCAGCGTATGAAGAAGGGCTACCGTCAAGGCGACCAGGTTCTTGGACTTGGCAGCTTTGTGCAGAGCAGTCATCCCGTCTTTGGCCCTGAAGTCCAGGTGGGCTCCTCCATTCCTCAAAGCCTTGATGATCTCCACAACATTGTCCAAGTGGGCGGCGAAGGTGAGTGGCGTCTCTAAATCACATGGGAGAGAAAGAGGAAGTAAAAAGAAGCCCTGGGCACATACTCATCACCAAAGGAGAGGAGAGGGGAGGACTCATCACCAAAGGAGAGGAGAGGGGAGGAGAGGGGAGCGGAGGGGAGGAGAGGA